TTAATTAAAAATAATAATGCAAAAAAATGAATAAACTATAAAAAAAATAAAAATAAAATATAATATAAAATCATATCAATATAAATTATGTGTCACGCATTCATTTACTATCCCATATAAAAAGTTCACTCTTCACGTTGTACGTATTCAATCTCCTTCACTCTGCCTCAGATTGGCCTCTCTCTTGCTACAAAGGGAGAGAGAGTGAAGGGCAAATATGAATTTTAAATCCCTTTTTCAGATTCCTTACGTCGAGATGGAAAACGGGCCGAAGGCCCGAAGGCAACAAAACGATAGTAAGATATAAACAGAGATCCGTTTAGCGTGTCCAGTTTCTTGATTTTCTTCAGAGAACGAATGGCCCAGATATCGGCTAAGGGTGTCGGTTTAGAATGGGTGGTGGGTCACACGGACGATGTTAGATACAAGATCGGGCCTTTGTTTGTTGCGATAAAGGCGTCGTTTTTTGTGCCCGTGCTTAGGTTCGCTATGTACGCTTGTTTGGCGTGTTCGTTTCTGTTGTTCGTGGAGTGGGTCCACGTCATGTCCCTGGCCGCATTCGCCAGGCTCTTCCGGAAAAGGCCCGCCGAAAGGTTCAAATTTGAGGCCACGGCGGACGATTTGGAGGGCGCCGGCGCCGATTTTCCGGTGGTTCTTGTCCAGATACCTATTTACAATGAGATTGAGGTTTGTTCTGTTTTGCTGTCATCTTCTTATAAACACATACGTGCCTGCTTATGTGCGAGCAGATTCATAATATAAAATAGAGATTTTCTTTATACATTTTATAATTGATAATGTCTCTTGTGGAGAGGAGTCAGGTTTACAAGATTTCTATTGCGGCAGCGTGTAATCTTTCATGGCCTTCTCATAAGCTGGTGATTCAGGTGTTGGATGATTCGACCGACCTTCGACTCAAGGTACAGCATTACATTATATTGCTCGATTTGTGTTTTTCCAGAAATTGCATTAATAATGTAGTTTTGTTCTCTTTTGCCAATCTGCCCTTAATTGTTAAGTTTGAAGATCAATTTACTGTGACAATTTACCAATGCAGTGGAAGTATACACAATAATCTTATTTATATTAATAGTGCAAAAGGTTGCAGGATATGATCGAGAAAGAATGCATAAAGTGGGCAAGCGAAGGCATTAACATTCGATACCAAATTAGACAAGGTAGAGTAGGCTACAAAGCCAGGGCACTCAAAGAAGGCTTAAAGCACGATTATGTCAAAGATTGTGAGTATGTAGCTATATTTGATGCTGATTTTCAGCCGGAACCTGACTTCTTGCATCGAGCCATGCCTTTCCTCATACACAACCCTCAAATCGGACTCGTACAAGCTCGTTGGAGATTTGGTATGCTGATAGAATGAGATTCCTATTGCATTAGTTGTTCCGAATTTGATATACCTTGCGAAGGTTATTAGGAAACATAAATATGTAGTTTAGTTGGAGGCCATATAAGGAAAGTTCATGGAACATGGCTTCCTTTCAAGAGTATTTCTAATAAATTTCAAGAAAGCTTTGCTGGGGAATCTTTAAGATGGTGAATGTTAGGATAAAGCTAATAACAGCTCAACTGCTTGGCTTATTTGGCAGTGAATGCAGATGAATGCTTCTTGACAAGAATGCAGGAAATGTCACTGGACTATCAGTTTGTAATCGAGCAAGAAGGAGGCTCATCCATTCATGCATTTTTCAGCTTTAACGGTAACTTTTTTTTTTACCATCCAAGGCAAGACAAATTATTCATCACAAAATAGACATGACATAGAACTGTTTGCCATCCTACTTTCAAGCATGCCCTGATTTTTTTTTATCAACTAAAGTTTTCCCATTGATGTACTATGGATAAAAAAGGAAAAATTTCAGACTTTCAGATTTGATTTATTTTTTTAACTTTTGTGATTAAATTAGCTGAAAAAAGAAATCTCAGGAAGTGGTGGAATATGGAGAATTGCAGCCATAAACGAGGCCGGTGGATGGAATGACCGAACAACGGTAGAGGACATGGATCTTGCCATTCGAGCTGGCCTCAAGGGATGGAAATATGTTTTCCTAGGAGACCTTGAGGTAAGATGCAATAGATGTCTTGTAACTTCATTAATGTTGCCTGCCAAAGTTTGACGCTTAAGCAGTAAGGATTTGATTTTTAAGCTTTTGAACAGGTTAAAAGCGAACTCCCCAGTACTTTCAAGGCCTACCGCTCTCAACAGCACAGGTGGGCCTGTGGGCCAGCCAATCTATTCCGGAAAATGGTGATTGAGATTTCGAAAAACAAGGTTCGCTCGGGTTGTGTTACTTGAGTATAATTATTTGATCTTTGTTGAGATACTTAAAAGTAGTTGAAAAGCAGTAAATAGACATGGTTAGTTCTCCCATTTTTTTTTAAACAGGAAGTGTCAATCTGGACAAAGTTCTACATAATATACAATTTCTTCTTCATACGGAAGATTGTTGGGACCATGTTCACTTTCTCCTTTTACTGTGTGGTTCTGCCTTTGGTGAGTTTGATTCCTGAAGCTGATGTTCCTAAATGGGGAGCCATTTTGGCCACTTTTATAATTGCCACCATTAACACGTTGGTCGCAACTCCAAGGTCTGATGTAAATTCTGTCTTTCTTCTTGTATCAAAAGTTCTTATGAAATAACTACAGAGGTTGCCTCAAAGTTCAAAGTGTCTAAACTACATTTGTAAAAGGCAATAAAGAGAAGAGATAGAAGTTGGTGTGTTTAATCGAAAACTTTTAAAAGTTGAACTAGAATTGTGAGAAGAAAAAAATTGATCTTTTGGGAGAACTAATTAATTCTTTTATCTGAGATTACATACAACATATTTCCATAGTCTTTCAAAATTACGAGACAACTCATTCAAAGTGTTTCAATATAGCTCCTTATTATTTGTATATTCTTGAATTTGGCAACGAAGTCCAAATCATTATGGTGCCGTTATTCGAAATTTTCAGGTCACTACATCTGGCTGTACCTTGGCTTCTCTTTGAGAACGTAATGTCATTCCACAGGAGCAAGGCTTTATTCATTGGTCTATTTGAGGCTAAGAGGGCAAATGAGTGGGTTGTGACAGAAAAACTCGGAGATGCCCTCATCAAGAACAATCCCAATCCTGAATCAAGCTCAGAAAAAGAGCCCAACCAGCAAAATCGTCTTAGAGAAAGGTGATTTTTTATTTTTTAATTTTTTTCTAAACAACCTTACTTTGTGCTCAATTTCTACGAGTGAGATTATATACATGTGATCATATTAGTATGTTCTTCAGAAGATAAATTTATTCCGATTAAGATGTACGGTCTTTCGTATATGACTTTTCAGAATACAACCACAGGAGCTTTTACTGTCGTTGATTCTTTTGGCATGTGGATTTTACAATGTCTTCTACAGTGCCGACAGATATTACATTTACCTTTTTCCTCAGTCTTTCTTCTTTGCAATAGCCGGGTTCGGTTATTTTGGGACAATTGTTCCATGTTTGGCAAGAAATGACTTGTATAAACCCTTGCTTAGCTAAGACGGACTTAGTTAAAATGACCGGTTGAGGTTGTTGATCTTATTGTTTTATGTATCATAGTTAGTCTAGTCGAAAATAAATGTAGATGGCGGGAATATTTTTTTTTTGAATTGGCATAAGTTGTATGAATGTAAATTTGTTGTTGCTCAAAATGTAGGCATTCTTTTGTAACTTGAGGTTCATGGCTATTATTGAATATATATATATATGTATATACATATATATATTATTTTCATTTTCATTTGTGAGCTGAACGTTGCTGTAATGATAGTTTGTATTGCAATATTGCTACTTTGAATTTTTTTATTGAAGTTTCTCATATTCAGAAATTATATGAATTCTGGTGAATTCCCATTAGACATTATAGTTAGAGCATTTTGAATGTTTTAATATCACTGTGTCATTTAAGTGCATAAACTGTTAGGGCTCAGATGCACAAATGCGGAAGATATAAATTAAAATACTGACATGAAATGGTGAACAATAATCTCAATCACAGCAACTCAAGAATGACAAAAGAAAATCTCTTTCAATAAAAACAGGAATAATTCTTTACTGATGTGGAACATCAGATTAAACTGCGACCACAGAGCATACTAAGAATATCCCAAATAAATAAAATATGCAAGAAAGAAGACATCAAGATTTAACGTGGAAAAACCTCCAATGTAGAGGAAAAAACTATGGGACAACCTCCGAACAATTCCACTATATTTTCAAGATATTTACAATATCTTTTCACACTCCCCTACACTAGAATATAAAATATAGTGACCCAGTGAAACCCCACTCCTAAACAAGGAGTAATAGAGTTGATACCTAACCTAGTGTATTTTTCCCACACTCACAGGATTTACTCAAATACTCTATTTTTATCTCACTGAAAAATAACACTCCAGAAATTCTATTTCTGCTCTTTTTCTTCTTCTTCTTGGTGCGTAGTATCTGCTGATGACCCCCTCTACTTATAGAGGGGATGTGCACTTCTGATACAATGCATTCGATTCCTGCCAGCAAATGGGCAGCTTGTCAACCAAACCATTCTTATTGTCTTCTTTCAATGTAACTACCATTATTTATTTATTTATTTATTTTATGTTTTTTCTTTGGTTGGATTCAGACAATTCTCCCCCTCCAGCCGAAAGGTAATATACTACAGATCTTCACATTCATTCCATGTCGATCAACTCGGCACAAAGCTGAAGCTTTCCCCCTTTACAACTTTCGTCATCATATCAGCAGGATTTTTGTCAGTGTCAATCTTTTCTAACTTGAACTGTTATTCTTCCACTGCTTGACGTAGCCAATGATATCTGACATCAATGTGCTTCGTGCGAGAGTGGTACATCGCATTCTTACTTAAATCTAATGCGCTCTGACTATCACAATGGATATCGTACCTTTCCTGCTTTATTCCCAATTGTTGAAGAAACCTCTTCAACCAAAACATATTTCTTTTCCTGCTTTTGTCATTGCTATATACTCTGCTTTAGTAGTCGACAAGGCAACAGATTTCTGCAATTTAGATTGCCAAAATACAGCTCCTCCTGCAAATGTAAACACAAACCCTGAAGTAGATTTTCTACTATCCATTTCACCTGCCATATCAACATATGTATAACCTTCAAGAACTGGGTTTCTTTTTCCAAAGCTCAAGGACTTATTTGCACTACCTTTAGGTACCTCAAGATCCACTTCACAGCTTCCCAATGATCCTTCCCAGAATTGGAAAGATACCTGCTAACAATTCCAACCGCGTGAGCGATATATGGTCTGGTACAGACCATGGCATACATCAAACTCCCGACTGTTGAGGAGTATGGAACACTCGCCATAGCTTCTTTTTCTTCTTGACTCTTAGGACAACTTTGTTTGCTGAGTTTGAAATGATTGGTTAACAGTGCATTGACCGGCTTAGCCGATTTCATGTTGAATCTCTCAAGAATTCGATTCACATACCGTTCTTGCGATAACCATAACCTCTTGGATTTTCGATCTCGCATGATCTGTATGCCCAAAATTTGTTTTGCAGGGCCCATATCATTCATATCAAAAAACTTTGCTTATTCCTTCTTCAAATCACCAATCAGCTTCAAATCATGTCCCACTATCAACATATCATCTACATATAACAAAAGGATAATGAATTTATCACCTGGAAATTCCTTAACGAACACACAATGATCTGCATCAGTCTTGGTATATCCATGACTCACCATGAATGAGTCAAATTTCTTATGCTACTATCTTGGAGCTTATTTCAGTCCATACAAGCTCTTCTTCAATCTGCAAACCATGTGGTCCTTTCTAGTCTTCTCAAATCCTTCTAGTTGCTCCATGTAGATTTCTTCATCTAGATCTCCATGAAGAAATGCATTCTTCAATTCTAGTTGTTCAAGCTCCAGATCCAAGCTAACCACCAATCTGAGTATTCGAATAGAGCTCATCTTTACAACAGGAGAGAATATATCATCAAAATCTATTCCTCGCTTTTGTCCAACTCCTTTCACGACTAAACGAGCTTTGTACTTCAACAGCTTGTCACCATCTTTCTTAAGCTTGACCACCCATTTATTTTTCAAGGCTTTCCTGCCTTCCGGAAGCTTCACAAGCTCATAAGTGTCATTTTTCATCAGTGAATCCATTTCTTCTTGCATGGCTTTCATCCACTGGGATTTATCCATATGATTCTGTACTTCTTCAAAGCTTTCTGGCTCCCCTTCTTCAGTGATGGTAATATACGTGGAACTAGGGTATCCCGTAAATGGTTGGATCGTTCGGTTTGATCTCCTGAGCTGAGGTGGAGCTTCAAGGTCTTCTTGCTCGACACCTTCTCTATCACCATCTTCTATTGTTGGCTCATCATCAACCCTGAGTTCTCCATCATACTCTCCCCCTGTTGTGGCATCTCCAAGAGGTTTGACAGGTGAAAGATCCACCTTTCCACTTGGTTCTCTTGTTTCTGGTGAAGCAGAATCAGACATAGTTTCTTGCTCATAGAACACTACATCTCTGCTTCTAATAATTTTTCAATTTTCTGGATCCCATAACCTATAGCCAAATTCCTCATCTCCATAGCCTAGAAATATACAAGAAATGACTTTATTGTCAAGTTTTCATCTTAGTTCCTTGCTTACGTGAGCAAAAGCTTTACATCCAAACACCTTTAAATGAGAGTATTTAACATCATGTCCAGACCATACTCTCTCAGGGATATCAAAGCCCAAAGGAACAAATGGAGATCGGTTGATCAGGTAGCACGCCGTTAGAACAGCTTCACCCCAAAATGGCTTAGGTAGCTTAGCCATTATTAACATACACCTCACTTTCTCCATAGTGGTTCTATTGATTCTTTCAGCCACACCATTATGTTGTAGGGTTCCAAGTACAGTCTTCTCATGCCTGATTCCATGATCAGTACAATAATTCTTGAATTCATGGGAAGTATACTCCTCCCCATTATCTGAGCGAAGACACTTCAAAGGTTTACCAGAGTGTCTCTCCACCATAACATGAAACCTTTTGAAGTATTGAAAAAATTCGCCCTTCGTTCTCAAGAAATGCACCCACAATTTTATTGAAGCACCATCAATAAACGTCACGAAATATCTGCTACCACCGAGACTCTCTACTTTTATGGGTCCACATACATCTAAATACACCATTTCCGACACATTTTATTTGAGCTTCGAGGTTTTGCTGAAAGACACTTTATGATGCTTCCCAAAGAGACAATATTCACAAGGATTCAGTTTTGAATCTTTGGCGAATGAGATGAGAGACTTTCTTGCCAAAACCTGTAATCCTTTTTCACCAATGCGAGTCAGTCTTTTGTGCCACAAATTTGGCGAAGCATCATCTTTAACTGCATTCAGTTCACCCTTGATCAGTTTCACTTGAGTTCTGTACAGTGTCGATCTCACTGTACCTCTAGCAGCTAACAATGATCATTGGTAAGTTTCCACGTGCCGCTACCAAAATTGTTAGTATAGCTTGCTAGATCCAATGCACACACATATCAAATTCATACGTAAGTCAGGTACATGTCGCACATCCTTCAGTGTTATTATGCATCCGATATTAGTTTGAATGCACACATCACCAACTCCCACAATATTTGCAATGTTGTTGTTGCCCATCTTTACTCTACCAAAGTTTCTTTCTTTGTATAGAAAAAAGAATTCCTTGTGAGAGGTTGCATGGTATGATACTGCTAAGTCAATGACTCATTCAACACATGAATCTGCAACATGACACTCTTCTTCTTCAAAGAGAGCAACACTACTTCCCCATTGATCACAGGGGTTACGGTATTTTCATCGTTCTCTAATTTATTGTTCCTCTGATCTCTGTTCTTCTAGACTTTGCAGTTTATTTTGATATGCCCTTCTTCACCGTAGTGATAACACTTAAATTTTCTTCTGGGTTGAGATTGTGATTTATCTTTGGATTTGTTATTCCGGCCTCTGCTTTTACTTCTCCCCCTGGTTTCTGTGACGAAGGCTTGGGAACTGCTTGCCCCAGAGTCTTTTCTTCTTGTTTCTTCATTAAACATACTGTCTTTGACTTGGGTTCAATTTTCCTTCAGGGGAAGAGTTGCTCAACGAGACCACCAGAGTCTCCCAGCTATCCGGTAAAGAACTCAAAACTAACAGCGCATGCAGTTCTTCATCAAGTTTCATCTCTATGGTAACAAGTTGGTTCACCATGTCTTGAAACTCATTCAAGTGTTCTGCACCTGATCTTCCATCCCGATATATTATATTTACAAGCTTTCTAGTGACGAAATCTTTATTCTGTGCAGTCTTTCTCTGGTACATTTGTTCAATTTTGTTCCACGGAGTATGGGCTTTCGACTCTGTGGCAACATGGTGGAATATGTTGATATCCACCCACTGTCTGATTAAACTGACAGTCTTTTTATGTAACTTTTTCCAATCATCATCCTTCACATCATCTGGCTTGTTGTCTCCCTTTTCTACATGATCATACAGATCTTT